TTTGATATTCTAATTCAAATGAATCTTTTTCATGAGGATGATTATGTAATTATTTAACGTAATTATTTATTTTTATTATGTAATTTTAGTTTCTCAGGAAATATTGTATATATTGATATGCAATTATAATATTACACCAAATTTTAACAATGATATAATCTTAAAGTCAGGATTGTATTATCTTTAAATGTGACTATATTTATTATAATTTTAAACGAGCACAGTATAATTATTTGGAAATACGTTAAATGATTATTATGATATAATGGGCACAACCCTTGCATGAGTTTGTACAGGAATTTACAATGGACCAAAACTCAAAACGCATAAAACTTACTACAATATTCCTTATATCAGTAAAATGAGTCTACCTCATATTTTATTTTCTAAATATTTATATAAATGTATGCTCAGATTCTCATACAAGGCATGATATTTATTATATGTACGATTTTTCAATTTGTTTATAATTATCATAAAAACAAAAAATGAAAAAAGTAATTGCATTAGTAAGTACTTAATATTTGTTGTTACTATTGACTTCGCTATTAATATATTTTTACTTTGATCAGTAAAAAGCATAAAATGTACATGCTTTGTAATGATAATGGCTAAAATTACTACAAAGTATATTGATTAATGGCTACATTTATAGGTTATTTATATGCATTTTTTAGCTAATTAAAAAATACATTGGGTAATATACATTCATTATTAAATATTAATGTCTGGTGCTTCAGAATATAGACAGGATATAGATACATTGTTAGATTTTTTTATAGAATAATTTATAATGTAATAAACAATAAAAAGGGAATATTTGTATTATAGCACTATAAGAAAAATGTTTTTTTAAAACATATTTTATGATATGTTTAGCGTTATAGTTGACATTTGTATGAATTTACAAATATAAAAATTTGTTTATAATTTTATTTTTATGGTACAGAAACAAATGTAATTTTGTTATATTAATTAATAAAAAATTATAAGAATAATAATAATTAATAAAAAATTCCTTATTGGGCGCGGATGTTAAAAACTCTAAACTATTGTAAACTATTTTTAAGCTACATCATGCATGCATTTAATGTTTTCATATTATTTCATATATACATATATATTTATTTATTTATTTGTAATAAAATTATGCTATTAATGAGAAATAAAATATTTTCCTTATTATACATACATACTATAAAATTGTACATATTTTATATACATGTATCGTCAATATAAAGTTGTGGTTACTTAGCAACTAATCTAACAACACTATATGATTTCACATTAGAGTGGTTTTACATTTGCTAATGAAATTATAAAATAAAGATATCAATATTTTAAAGTAATAATTGATATTGGAGTACTTTATAATTTATTTTCATAAATTTTTATTTGTAAATTGGTAATAGATAGATAGATATCTGTTTTTGTGATATTCCATTCATCTGATTTTTTTTATAAAAATGGTGAGTTTTGAAATTTCTATTTACAATAATTTAATCTATAAAATCTTAATTATATGCATGTAAATCATTTTATCTCGTATTAACTTTGTAGGGGCCTAAAAAGGCGAAAGCACCTACTACTGTTGATGGAGTGGATACAACGAAAATGAATAGAGAACAATTAGAATTTTATGTACACAAAATACTGGAAGAAATGGAGCGTGAACGAGAAGAAAGAAATTTTTTTCAACTTGAAAGAGATAAGATTAGAACTTTTTGGGAAATTACAAGACATCAATTAGATGAGGCGCAAGCAACTGTTAGGTATTACTGTATACCTGATTACAAATTCAACATTTTAATAAAAATTAGTTTATATATGCTATTTTTTAAGAAATAAAGAACGTGAAAAAGAAGAGTTATCAGAAAAACATGAAGGAGAGCTCAAATTGTATAAACAGAAAGTAAAACATTTAATGTATGAGCATCAAACTAATTTATCAGAAACTAAAGCTGAACACATGGTTGCTCTTAAAATGGCACAAGATGATCATATTCTTCAAGAAAATGAATTAATTAAAGATAAAAGGGAATTAAAAAGATTGCAGAAAGAACAAGATTTGGCACATATAAATAAAATAAAAACATTAAAATTGGTATGAAAGAAATACAAAATATCATTTATTATTATTAAACATTTTACATATTTATATTTATTATTTAGCAACATGCGGAAGAAACAGATAAGTTAATAAAACAATTTGAAAATGAAGCTCAAGAATTGGAACAAAAATATGAACAGAAGTTAACGAGTCAATATGAATCTCTTACTTTGAAACATCGTATGGAAATAACTGAAGTGGAAGAAAGAAAAAATACACAAATTGCAAATTTGATAAAAAACCATGAAGCTGCATTTGCGGAAATGAAAACTTATTATAATGATATTACCCTTAACAATTTGTCTTTGATAAAGAGTATGAAGGTATGATTAATTGAAAAAATGTTATTTATATGTACAATAATATTATTGAATTTATAGGATCAAATGGATCAAATGAGAAGTAACGAAGAACGTATGAAAAAGCAAGTGCGAGAATTAACTACAGAAAATAAAAAATATTCTATTGATGCAAAATCATATGAAGAATCTTTAGCAAATTTTACTCGTCAACTTGCAAATTACGATAAAGATAAACAAAGCTTGATTGTCAGTATTTACAATTCTTTTTACACATGTAAGTAACTTTTTATATAAAATTTTAATTCTTTCAGAATACTAAAAAAAGACTAGCAATAACTATGAAAGATTTGGAGAATTTAAAATGGGAAAATGAAGTATTAGAATTACGTTTTGAAAAGGTAAATAAATAATATATGTTTTTTTTTTCTAAATAAAATTATATTCATTGCATCGAAATCGTTTTATTGTTTAGTGTCAATCTGAAAGAAATGAATTACATTCAAGATTTGTCTCAGCAATACTTGAACTCCAACAGAAGACTGGTTTAAAGAATGTTCTTTTAGAAAAAAAACTTGAGAAATTATCAGATTTATTAGAACAGCGTGAGGCACAGATCAGTGAAGTGCTTACTGCTGCTCAATTGGATCCAATGGCTGTTCTTAACGCTAATAAAAAAATAGAGGTTTGTATAATCATTGTAGGATAGGCTCCTTTTTTTAAATACAATATTTTTTTTGTAGAATATGTTGAATAGAAAAAATAATGCAATACAAGATCTTCAGTATGAATTAGCAAAAGTTTGTAAAGCACACGACGATTTACTCCGAACGTATGAAGCTAAGTTACAAGAGTATGGAATTCCAAAGAGTGAACTTGGCTTTCAACCATTAAGAGTAAAAGCAATAACTACAAAGTTAGGATTGGGCCCAGCTGGTCTTGTTACTTCAAATCATTAGCCTATTCGATTTTAATAACATTTTTTATTTTTGATTAATCGTATAATACATTTTCACTAACAAGTGAAATGTAAAAATAATAAAATCAGATTAATACAGAAAAATTCAAATGATATCCCATGCAGAATATCTTTATTTTGTGAAACAAAGAAGTTCCAGCGCATCTGTTTTATTTTTTATAAATTACATAAAATTATCACAGAATGTACAGAGTAGATCATATTGATGCCTGATAGTTGCATACTCGTACTATTCTATCTATTCAATCTTTTTATTAAATCATCATGCATCTCCATATTATATATTTTTTTATAATTATTTAACAACTAACAGGCACAATTATACTGAAGATTTTTCATATATGTATGTATATATATGTATATATATATTTAAAAACATTTAAATATATATATATATATAGATTTTATATATAGATATTATGACATATATAGACATAGACACATTTACTAATCTAATTTACAAAATATTATAAATCGAATATATCAGGTCACGTGGTTAATAAGGTTCAAACATTTAAATACATATATATATATATATATATATATAGGGTTTATGTAAAATATCTTTCCCTCAAATCTATTGATTTGTCAGTTCCAAAAACATTTAAATCTTAAGTGAAGAAATAATTCATTAGTTTTTTTTTATTATGCATTTGAAAACATTATATAATATTTTGTACAGATATAATCTTATTATGTATGTATATAAGCACACGCGTATATGCGAATGCATTTATATTTTTTGTACACACATATAATTATATATACGTATGTATACATATATATTTTTTATACATGTATATATATTAAGAATTTGGCACAATAAGAAATAGAATCACAGTTGAAATCATTGTACATCATAAGAGTTATGGTTTGTTAATACTTTTTTTTCTATATCTGCAAGTCCGATTTAACGTTCTCCATATTTCTCTTTACTTGAAAAATATCTTAAATATATATAATGTAATTTAATTATTTTATATCCGATTGTTATGTTATATCACAAAAGAAGAGATCATGTTAGAAATAATAATATGAACATACAGCAATTTTTTAATTTGACCACTGTAAAGTCTTCTTGCAGATTTTTAGATTTAGTCTCAGTTCATTGGTTCGTTATGTCAAAAGAATATTGAATCTATTTAATTTCTCAGAGCCACATGAATATGAATCATAGATAGTAAAAAAAATAAGCATCTGTTTTAATTTTAGACATTAGTGGTCCATTGTTCCATTGTGTATATCCCTCTTCTATATTAGATTCTTACGTATTCATTAAAGTATACTACCATTAAAGGTGCATGGGTTTCTAATATCTTCATTTTATAGTGCCATAATTAAGTGGAAAACTATGCATACTGTTTCTATATAATTTAGCGTTATGCTTATACTATTTTCATAAAAATTTTGTAAAATATAATGCTACACTTTCATTTGGGTTTTTAGAAATTGTTGAAAAGATATGAGTACACAATAAACCTTTCAAAGACAAGCTTTTACGGTAAATATCTATATGTATGCCGTTTCTTTACTATACTGATATAATAAATTAAAATTTCGAATGTTGTATTCAAGAAAAAGAATTATATTTTAAAAATTTTCTCTTAAAAATTGTAAGCAATAAGAAAAATGCTTGTTTTAATAAAAAAAATTTTATAGAAAATTTTCGTAGTTTCAATTTTGAAAGAAATATAGATAATGTTATCTTTGCATTATAAAATCGAACTGAATGGTATAACCATTATAAGTATTTTCCTCCGTATAAAAAGTATTCTCAATAAAATGTTTGTACATGCATTACTTTTTAATTTGAGATCCATAGAATATTTTTTTGATCTTATTCAACTCATTATCTTCCAGTTTGGCAAAACTTCGGCAATTAACGTAGAAAAGTATGTTGTTACGTTATATACAACAGTTTCACCAGCAGCTAAAATTGCGCCAAACGAACCATACGTACCGTAATCTATAATACTGTGATTACATGCTGATAAAACTGCGAGATCTTTGCCTGGACCTTTTGCATTCATATCAGACACGAATTTGATTCTATATCTTTTGCTATTTAAATTATATTTGCACCAAACTATATTATCGCTAGTTACTACAAAAACTACATTACGATACTTGCCAATAAAGTAATCCATTGCCGCAAAATAATAGCTGACTGGTGCAGGTCTGATCTTTAATTTCTGCCATAGATAATCCATATAATCTGTTCTTCGTATATGTATGCTTACAAATGTTGGTTCAGATAAATTAAATTCCTCTGCCACTTCTCTCAATACCTTTTCTGCATAAGCTCTTAAATTTGGCTTGAATGTAAATTCTCTTCGTACATCATCCAACCACACCAGAATAAGAGACCAATAAGCTGCATGCCTGTAGAGTAAAAAATCATTAAAAAAATATAATATATCAGTTGCAAATGAAATAAAAAAACTTACCTTGGTATAATGATATTCTGTTCTGTACTGTTCCATTGACTAAGAGAATTAACAACTTGACTAACATCCAAATTACATCTTCCAATGTAACTGAGTGGTGGAATACTCAGATTTTCAAAGTATTCTTCAAGAGTTTTTAATATACAACGCGGCATAAATGGTTCCAAGCCAGTCCTTCTTGCAGTGGCCCACACTGATGCATATTCCCAGATTTGATTTCCAAGTCTGCCACCTTGAACTGCAGAAACTATTCCATATTTGGGACAGGGGTTCCTCCATTCAGGTGGTATTCTGATATTCTTTAAGGTAGTACGGCAAAGAACTTGCTCATATGATGAGATTTTTATATGACGAGCTGGTGGGTTGGATGTGTACATAGGAAACAGGAAGACATGGATGCCGAAGACCACTATCAGAGCAAGAACTATTGCACTTGCAAGTACATGCTGCTGAGCGTGACTCATTATCCTTATATACTCCTGTATAGCGTAGTCACTACGTATGGTTCAACTCTTTTTTCTATCTTCTACTGCTTTCTGCTTATTTATTTTCTACTCTTCAACTTCCACTAGTCCGGCATTTTGTATCTACAGGTGTGCCATGTCCTTTGCTTTTGGTCGCACATCTTTGCAATGATAATATTATCTTTATTGAACAGTACATGCTACTTAATTGTAAATGGTAACAAGATATGGATTGTGTAATTAATGATGATAATAGAACGAATTGAAAAAATATATGTATTTAAGAATGTTACACATTTTTTTTTAATCCAATTAACAAAAAAATCGGCTAAAATGTCAATAATTTTCCGTTTGGCTAGAAAGTGATAGGTAACATTATTAAGTAATATAGGTCGATGTTGGTCAGACAATGAAAAGGACATGGCCTAGTATATTTCGTTTAAAAGCTGCTAATTTAGCGAGGTTTTATTGTACAAAGCACGATACATGTAAATCAAAACTGTTTATTGACATCGGTTTTATTTCGAATCTAATGAAATTATATTACATGTTATATATGACACTATAAGGTAGTAACAGGTGGTGAGTTTCAAACATTACACGAACTTTGATATATACCATATATATACAAGAGTAATATTTACTAGTCACATAGCTACATACAGCATATAAATAAAATTGTAAAGGAAAAAATACTTACGCTGAAGTGACAAAAAAATCGTTAAAACATATGATATACGTAAGTGTTAAAGACAACTGAATTACATTTGACACTTGGATCGAGTCATCTTAAATACAAACGACGACAATGTACACTCACCTGTCGCACACAACGATTGACATTCAATTCGAAATCCACTACCATCCAAAAGATTTATATTCACAACTTTTTTATTTCTACCACTCATATTTTCCCGGCGAAATCGATGGGTATCCCGTGATTGACGCTTGTTGCGTATCTACACGAGATGCTTGTATGTATTTGTTGAAACGTTATTTCTTCGACGCGAGTAATCACAATACACTCATCTTTCGCATTACGGCGTTTTATTTGAGACGAAGTTGTTTAAACAAACTGTTGAACAATTAACAACGTTTAGTTCATGTAGAATTTGCATTCTTCGAACGGGGGATGTTTTCTCGATTGATGACGTCATAAGGAACTGTCATTCTTATCATAACCATAGACAACAGCATTATAGACTTACGACTTTATTGAATTTCGTATTCTTGACATACTGATATTACACAATAATATGACATATTTTTGAAATACTGACTGTTCAAAATATTAGAAACCAATTTCACTATTGATCGAAGAATGATCGAAGCACAGACGAGATATATGAATTCATATACGTTTGTGCTTAAACCGTTGATTACTAATAGCATTGAATAAGGATAAAATCGATAGACCAGACTAGATTCATGTCTGATTTATATTTAAAGAAATTTAAATTTATTAGATTTTAACTCAAAATTAAACCAAAAAGTTAAAAAAATAAAATTACAAGATTTTTTTACAATTTACAAATATTTTTGTGAAAATTTTATTTAAATAGAAAAGAATTAGGAGAAAGAAATTTGTATTTTTCCTTCTAATTTATATGCAATACACTTTCGTACGAAATGCGCGCGCAATTTTAACTTTGACAAAGATTACAGCGCCAACGAAGCGGTGAAATTTCGCAATTATGTATTGCAATTCTCGAATGTAATCGATGTTTTTTGTAATCGATCTAACATAAAATCAATCTTGTAATCTAACTTGTAATGTGAAACCGTTAGTTTTAGGCGGGAATATGACGTGAAACATAGCAAGAAGCTGCTTAGCAGAAATTGTCAAGTAAAGACTAGGTAAGACTTGTTTCTGAATGATTCAATACATTTACAATTTAAAATAGCATGCATTCAATCATGATCGTGATTTGTTACAGACATTTCCCATCGAATTTAACGATTTCTATTTAATGATACTTACAATGATTTTTTTCTGGGTTATGAATACATATGTTGCTCCTTGCATCTAATTGTAAGTCTCATATACTATATCTTTCTGTTCATTTAATTATGATTACTTAAATTAATAGGAGTAAAAATAAATCTAATAAGTTGATAAGTGAATTGAATGTTTATATTAATGTTAAATCAAAAGAGCGTATCTGCAAATTTAATTGCTTAAATCAAGCTGTTAATGCCAAATAGCATTATATAATAATAAAAATAATTTATCTATGTGTATTTTATAAGAAAACTATATTGAAATTGAAAATATAATAGCTTATGTTTCAGATGTATATGAAATCGATTATTAAATACTGAAAGCCTTTTTTCTAAAGTCGTTTGTCAAACCACCTTTTAACCAGATACGTGTATTTGAATTAACATGGCAGTATATAGTCCGGAATGCATTAAAATTGGAAAACATTAAAATATAATAAGTTTCACGCGAAGTCACAAATAAAATACAGAATAGACATCTTCTGGAAGTTCATGTCACACGTTCTGAAATATTAACATAGTAAAAAGATTGTTTTTTTAGTATATAAGGTATACCTTGTTTGTGACATATAATGTTAATTTATGTATATTATAGTCAAAAATTAAGTTGGTTGTTTCTTAAGAATAGTCGTGCAAATGAGGAAATGTTCAATACAATAAATAATTTTCGGTATAGATGTAACAATATTATTCATATTTTGATTTTAATTCCTTTTACTAATCTAACCTCTCTAAATCGATATAGTAGAATGTGACATGAAAAGAGTAAGGATGTCAGGTGATGCTACCGACAAGGTATATGAATAGACATAAAAAAACATTGGATGTTCGGTCTTTTTTAGTTAGTCAATGATTCGATCTATCTTAATTAATTAATGATTTTACGGGTTAATGGTTTTAATGAGACTAATCGACTCGGTACAGTAGAAAACTACTATCGGGTTTCTGCTTATCAAATCAATCAAATTGAAACACGATGGCGCCACTTGAATCTCGCCTTCTATGTATAGTAATCGAAATTGTGCAATTTGAATTTCGCGAAAGTCATATCCGAACATGGTGCACTAACAATAATTCTCTGTTGTAATTTCCTTCGTTTCGTGAGATTCAGTTGAAAGTGTAAAAGTACATAGTGACATTTAAAGACTATTTAAAGATGTTTCATTCTTTAAGATTGCAGATAATTCATTTATTCACTATTTTTTGCAGAGAGGTTATGCCAGGAATATAAGATTGACACACGCGAGCTGAAACGAAATGAAAATCTGATGGTTCGAGGTTCTGGTAAGTCTCCTTTGCATGCATGAGAATGCTTATCATACGAGGAAAAATGAATATAAACTCTTTTTTCACGTTTTCGTTTCCCCTTTATCTGGTTCTCAATAATGTTTTCTTTTGTTCTCGACTGTATAATCCACCCATTCTTGCTTTTCAAATCGTGATACTCTTTGATTATTCCGTTCTAGGTTTACATCCTAGATTAATATTGTGTAAAGGTCATATCGAGTTAAATCAGGTTCTTTGATTTCATCTCTGGATATAAAGAAAAATGCAATCGTTGAAATTCAAGTAACCAGTAACTATAGATATCGTTCTTGGTTTATCGTAATACCGACGAGCTTATCAGCATATCACGGTAATAGTACTTCCTAGATCCGTGCTTTCGGTGTAAGAACATTTTGCGATAGGACAAAGGACTCCTAGCAAGGCAGCGACTAAAACTTTTGGGAATAGAGACCGGTTGAAGTTTTCTACCGATAAGAGCGACATCTATATACCATAGACGTGATGTCTGTGCATAAAGGACGATATCACTGTAACGTATTTGCTAGCGACCCATTTCTAGTCTGGTGTTATTCAGCTTTAGGATTATTTATGACAAATATTCGGACTACGTGTAACTAGTAAAAGCGTGACTGAGAAAGTATGGGGAAATATAGATTCAATTTAAACGGTTGAAAGTTGAGGGAGATGTTGAATCGTCTTAAGAATTGTTATAAGGAAATTGTTAAGTAATGTTTGAAAATAAAAATTAATTAATAATTAAATTGTTATAAATAATTTATTTAAATGATAAAACGATATTTAAAAATGTATACGGAAATGTATTAATTGGGTATTAATTGTTATACATAAAATATCAGAAACATTAAATGATGTTTAAACGTGTAGAATATTAAGAAATTTTAAATATTCAATTTATAATTAAAATTGTGAATATTCAATTTATAAGTACAATTGATGTGTACACGACGAAGGTTTGAGTCATAACGCATTGTCTCGATACTGCTCAAAGTTAGTTATTCCTCTGAGGGAATGGAGGGGGGAAACTGAAAAAAAAGATTTTTGCATTATAACAGTCAATAATTTAATAATTTTTGAATTCTTATTATAAACTTGTACCACCATCAATTTGTTACTTTATTAATAGACATTACAATTCGTACATTTTTCCATAAGCTTTTACGCTACATCCTTGTTGATGAATGAACGTGGTAACTTTTGGCCAGAGCTTAGGCTGGGTCTATTAGAAAATCGAGCAATTAAATAGAGTTTCTGCGGTTTGAGCGAGCATGACTGCGACTATGAATGAAAAAAAGTATCAGCGTTGTCACTTGGCATATAAAGTTCAACAAGCGTAAAATTCGCTTAGTTACTTGGCCAGCCGTAAAATCGCGATCTAAAAATCTATAGCGATCTTTATCTTACGCTCGGCGTGATTTGCTGTCATTTCAACCTCGATAAAAAAGGGCTGACGGCCGATTGCAACTTTCACCCTCTTTTACCCTGGCTGGTGGTTTACTCGGAGGATCCTAGTCGTTCCTGCTCGACTTCCAGTTAGCGAGGAAAGTTTACGCTGTTGGCCGGGAGTTTGCATGGAAATTGCATTTTGCTCGCTGAGAATCGAGCTAAATGAAATTTGATCGCGAACAGGATAGCCAACGGAGTTAGCTATGCGTCCTGCGTGTTGTATGTATATATATATATATATAT